GGAGAGGGAGAGGGAGAGGGAGAGGGAGAGAGAGAGAGGGAGGGAGAGGGAGAAACATCGACTGAGAACATGACATTGACTGGCTACCTCCTGCACACCCCCTACCGGGGATCCAGCCCACAACCCAGGCATATGCCCTTGACTGGGGAATCAAACCAGCAACCTTTGGTGCATGGGAAGGCACCCACACAACCAATTGAACCACACCAGCCAGAGCAAACCCACAACTTTTTCGGTGTACGGAATGATGCTTCAACCAACTGAGCCACCCAGGTGGGGCAGGCGTGGTCTTTTAAAAACACATTACACACTATACATCTCAGCACAGCTTAAAACACTACAACGGCTTCTTACTTAGAATAAGAGTATTGAACTTACAATCAGTTCTGTCTGGAACATACTTCCTCTCACTCTTGAAATGTCTGATTCATTTTGACTTTCATTTCTTACCTCAAGTATCACTAGCTCAGAGAGGCATTTCCTTGAAATCCCATCACATTGTGTGTATTTTCACATGATTACAATCAGTATCTATTTTAATTTGTTTCCCTTTTTTTGCCTATTTCTACCATCAGAATATAATCCCTAAGAGGAAGAGTGCTTCTAAATTTTATTCTCTGTGTGCTTATTTTCAGTGTGCTTGGCCTATAGTAGGCAGTCACTAATTAACATATGTGAAAGAAATAAAAGTAGTTCAATATAGCTGAATGGGGTACACATAAGAAAGTGCAGAGCACTAAGATTATAAAGATAGGTAAGTGCCAACTCAAAGATTCTGTATCTCATGAGGAATTTGACATGGACTTTATGAACAATGAAAAGCCACAAAGGGATTTTAAGAAAGACTAGCACAATAAGATTTGAATTTTAAAAAGAACAATAGATTGACGGGTAGAACAATTCTTGGCAGAGTAAAAATTAAACGTCTATTGTAACAGATCAAGCATTGCATGTATCATTTGGAAACAGAAATCCTGAATGATTCCCAGATTTCTGACTTGGCCTCCTGGATATTAAAAACCACCACCATCCATAACCATAACAATATCTCCCATTTATTGAAAGCTTTCTAGGTACAGTCATTTTTACATGCATTTTTCAATTAGTCATAGAATGGCTAACAGGCAAAAAAGACTTACCTGATTCCATGCCTGGGCTCATAAAAACTATATAGCCATTAGCCAGGATAGTAAGAATGGGAGATAAGAACAGGTTTGACAGATAATATCATAAGTTTCCCCTTGAACTAAATTTAAGGTGCCAAGTAACACTTGCAGATTATAGTAGATTAAGAAGGAGCCTAGCCAGTGTTGCTCAGTGTTGCTTGGTCACGTCGATCCCTGGCACCAAGAGGTCACCAGTTCGATTCCCGAGCAGGGCACATGCCCAGGTTGTGGGCTCGATCCCCAGTGGGAACCATGCAGGAGGCAGCCAATCAATGCTTCTCTCTCATCAATGTTTCTATCTCTCTCTCCCTTATTCTCTCTCTAAAAATAAAAAAAATTAAAAAGATATTTTTTTAAAAAAGAAGTAGAAGGTGAAGAAAAAGAAGATTCTTCTTTATAGAAGTTTGGCTATAAAGGAATGAATAAAACAGTGGCAACTAAAAAAGATAACAGAATGCTGCAAGGGTTGTCTTTTTTTTTTTTTTTAATGGGGAGAGAGAGACTTATACCTGTTAACAACAATAAAGGATTCAGTGGAGGAGAAAAGGTTGAGGAGAAAAAAGAGATATAGAAGCCCCTACTTATCTACACGGGTGGAACACATTCCAAGAACCTCAGTGGATTCATGAAACTGCAGATAGTACCAAACCCTATATTTACTACATGTTTTCATATACATACATACACGTGTGTGTGTGTGTGTGTGTGTGTGTGCGTGTGTGTAACCTATAAAAAAGTTTAATTTATGAATTAGGCAGAGTAAGAGATTAACAATATCTAATAATACAGAACAATTATAACAATATACTGTAAAAAAAAGGCAAATGTGATCTGTCTCTCTCAAAATATCTTATTGTACTGTACTCACCCTTCTTCTTATGATGATGTGAAATATCTATGTGATTAAATGAAGTGAGGTGAATGACATAAGAATTGTGATGTAGTATTAGGTTACTATTGACCTTCTCATAGTATGTAACAAGCACTTTATGGCTTCTCTTTGGCATATCCAAATTGCCAACATCACTACTCTTGCACTTAGGGGTCATGATTAAGTAAAATAAGGGTTACTTGAACACAAGCACTGTGATACTGCAATAGTGGATCTGATAACCAAGAAAGCTAGTTAAGTGACTAACAGGTGGGGAGCATATACAGCATAGATACACTGGACAAAGGGATGATTCACGCCCTGGAGGAGCAGAGCAGGACATTGAGAGACTTATCATGATACTCAGAACAGCATGCAATTCAGAACTTATGAACTGTTTACTTCTGTAATTTTCCACTTAATATTTTTGGATTACAGATGACCCAAGTAACTGAAACAGCAGAAACTGAAATACCATGGATAAGGGGGGACCTACTGTAACAAGTTACAATGAGATAAGAAGAGACTGGATTTGAGTACAGCTATAACAGTATCAGCCAGGAGAGAAAAAGCATCACCCTCCTCTAAGATGAGAGGGAAGATACTAAAGATGTGTAAACAAGTAGAATAGGTTGATTAAGTAGGAAAACTAGATTTTGAGGAAGTCATACCTATGCTTCCATGATTTCTTTTTGAAATCGGAGAAAAGTTCACCTAACAGTTGGAGTAATAAAGAAATGGCATAAGCAGCTCAAGAAGAGAAATAAAAGTCTGGGAGAAGGAACTGATGAGTGATATATTAAAAAAATGACAGCTCAAGTGAGGTTGGAGATAACGCATTGGGCTAACACCCATCTGGAGGACTATATGAAGTAAAGAAAGTGGCTGGTTGGTCTGATGTAGGGTTGTGTTTAGAGGCCTAATACAGTGGAATTACAAAGAAATGAAAAAAAATTGAGGGTACAAAGCAAGAAAGCTAAGTTCCAGAATGGACTGGTAAGAAAATAAACTGAAAAACTGGGGAAAAAGAGAGATTCCACTGACTTTTATAGGAAGTAAAGTTTAGTACAGGATGGTATAGTGAAGAAACTAGTAGGTGAAATTGTGATTTTAAAAAATGGAAGATATTCAAAAAGGGGGGGATGATAATCTTCTTCAAAGATCATTACTTATAATTTTTAAGAATTTGCACTGCTATAAAGTAAAATTTTGATCAGAATCAAAAATTTTGTGTAGGCATTATTTAAAAACTGATCATGTAGAAAACATTAAAACTGATACTTACCATACATTGCAACAGACTTTGCTTCTTCAATAGATTGATGTTTGTCAGTTAAACGAGCTTTGGTTACTTTATGTTCATTTACCTCTTGTTCTAACCGTTGTTGTAACGATTTAAGCTTATAGTTTAAATCTATCTCTAAATTATTCTTTTCCTGTAAAATGAGAATGAGAGTCATATAATACACTGTTCAAAAAACACATTAAATCTTACATCATTAATATCGACAAGAAATAACACACGAATCAACTGGCCTGAAATGTGACAAAATATCACCTTTCTTTACCCCCAACTTCCCATTTGAATCATAGCCATGGCTGATGGCAGGGCAAGGTTGTGGTGGTGATTATGTTAGAAGGGTTAATTGCTAGAATCAGAAATAAATAGGACAATTCTTCAATTCATAAAAAATTTTGCTACCAGTTTTTTAAAAACAATTCTATTATCTCTATCTCTAGCAAAATTTATGTTGCTTTGATGAAAGAACAAGTCAAAATGTTATTTCATTTCTGTTTGGGTGGTGCTTCTACTCTTCCTTCTTTCACCTTATTTCTACATTTACACCAGGCTTGACATGAAAAAACTATTCTGAGTGTCACAAAACGTGTACAAGAAACAAGATAACTGGTGGATTTTTCTCATCATTTATCTGAGGATCTAGTAAACCTACAACATTACGGCAAGACATCAAAACAGTGAGAGCTAGATCTGCATATTATCTATTTAATCCTTTTTTTAAGCAAGGAAGGGACAGAGGATAACCAATGACATTTTGATTAAGAAAATTCTACATATAAAGCCAAATCACTATTTTGTTAACTCCTACCAACAAAATGGAAAAAAGCGTACATGGTCTATATACTGGTCCTATGTTTTCCTTCTTCGAAAGGCCGGTAATAAGGTTCAACACCTTCATTATACCCATGTACAAAAAAATAGAAAAAATTCTATATGAAATGGTATTTCCAAACCAAAGCAATTTGTGATCAGATAATATCAAACAACTAATACTCTTCAAGGATAAAAACAAAAATAACACAATAAAAGCCCTAACCAAGACACATACCCCTGCTCTCACAACCAACTGATTAACCATAAAACTTTTAGAAACATAACATATAAACATTAGGAATAAATACTATTTTATAAAACCACTGTATAATATTTGATAACCAGTAAATTCTATTTCATAATTGGTAATGTTAGATCATTTACCTTTTCTGAATGATTAAGCATGTCTTGAGCCTCTTTTCTTTCTTCTTCTACTCTTTCAAGATTATGTTTGAGATGCTTCACCTCCTCTTGTAAAGATGTAATTCGAGCTATCGAGTGAGAAAAAAGTTCAACTCACACAGTCATTAAAACAGGTCTTTTTGTTCAGCATGACCATTAAAATAAAAAAGTTTTAAATTTCCTGATCAAATTAACTGTTTTTTTGGTAGTATATATAGTAACTACAACATATAATAATAAAAACTGTTATGCTAATTGGGGATCATCTAATACATATTCTTTGTTTCATAAATGGTCAAAGAGATAAAGCCTAAGCTTAGTCTAGAAATCAGATCTTAGGTCTTTATTCAGTGATCTTTCTACCATGTTAAGAGCGAGACGTTTTAGTTAATTAAGGCAAGTATTTAAGTGGTTTTTATGTGCCAGACCTTCTGAAAGTGTTTAATTTTACTCTTAAACTTAATGGAGCCAAACTTCATTTTATAGAAAACCAAGTTTTAAGGTACTCAAGCATTCTAACAAAGCTTAGTTTTAACTCACCTAAGGCTCATGCCATACAATGATAGCAACTCATCTCCTCATAACATGTTTTACACCTTTAAGGTTTTTAATGCATAAGTATTTAACACACAAATTTAATATACATGTAGAATTTAACAAAAATAAATACAATTATATGATCTAGTTCAAAAGCCAGAATCTATTTTCTTACTTTGTGATTTAAAGTAGCCTAGGATTTGGCAAGGAAATGGATAAAGCAACCTAAAGAACCAGAAAATTTTTGTTCTTTTAAAGTTCAGTGTTTAACTTGCTGTACTTTCTAAGTCTTCACTCTACATACTTCCTATGTTTTTGTGTTTCTGAAGTATTTTTTAAGTTTCTTTATTGTTGAAAATATTACAGATGCCTCCTTTTTACCCCCACTGATCCCCTCCACCCCACATACATCCCACCCTCAAGCCTTCCCCAGACCAGTGTCTGTGTCCATGGGTTGAAGTAGTTTTTAATGAACAAATGAATATTAAATCTTTGGCACCTGATAATGCTTATCTGCTAGAGAGCAATGAAACAATTTTATTCACACGCGCACACACACACACACACACGATAATGGCATTATGTTTATGTAGGAGTATGTTCATGTAGGAGAAAGAAACACTTGCCAGTTTCCTTCAAATGACTGGGCAAAAATAAAAGGTGTGAAGTGTATGTGTATGTATGTATGAATGTGTGTGTGTGTGTGCGCGCGCACGCGCACGCGTGTTTATATGGAGAAAAATGAAGCAAATGTGTCAAGATGTTTAAATGTTAAAGTGCTATTAAAAATGTTTCTTCTTTATGTATTCATAATAAATAGTTTTTAACTTTTTATTTTTTTAATCCTCACCCAAGGATATTTTTTTCCATTGCTTTTCAGAGAGAGAGAGAGAGAGAGAGAGAGAAAGAAAGAAACAGAAACAGAGAGAGAGTATCGACTGGTTGCCTCCCACACGCACCTTGACCAGGGCCAGGATCAAGCCTGCAATCAAGGTACGTGCCCTTACCAGAACCAAACCGGAGACCCTTCAGTCCATGAGCTGACACTCTAACCACTGAGTCAAACCAGCTAGGGCTAAATAGGTTTTGAAAATCCATAAAAAATCAGAATATTCAGATAAGCTGAATTTTTCATGTAGAAGTTTATATAAACCAACTCCCTATAAGATAAAGTGATGAAAATGTGAGTTAAATCCATTACAGATTCCTAATAATCCCATGTAAGACATGTTAAGTAAAATATAGTTTATTTTCCTCACTTATTCCATTTTTAAAATATGCTAGGAAGAAACTAAGTTGGCTTTGCAATACATGAAAACAAAGAAGCTTCTTATACAAAAAAATATATAAAAATATAAGAAAAGGAGAAAGAACCATAATTTAAATGGATTAAAACTTCTAGAAATAAACAGGGACCATAATCTTCATGATTTAATCAAGGAATTTAACAGGCCACACTAATTACAGCACTAACCATAAAAGAAAACAAAAATAAACTGGACTAAATAAAAAATAAGAAAAGTAAGACATCCTGTTAATCAGCAGACAACATTAAAGAGTGAAAAGGCAAACCACAGAGTGGGAAAAGACAATATGATACACATATTTCATAAAAGACTAATATCTAGAAGTCGTACAAACCAATAAGAAAAAGTCAAAAATCCAATAATAAATGGGCAAAAGACTTGAAGAGCACATCACAAACTGCCAAAAAATATAGCAAGTTGCTCCATTAGACACCAGGGAAATACAAATTAACCCATAAGAAAATATCATCATGCACCATCAAGACTGACAAAAGTCAGCTGGAATGAGTATTATCCTTGATTAGGATGTAGAGCAACTGGAACTCTCACATACAACTGCTGCTGAATGTAAACTGCTGCAGCTACTTTGAAATACTTGGAAGTACTTATTAAAGCCAAATATACATATACTCTATGGCTTTTCCACACCAAGGGGTATAACAACAGGAATCATATGTATGACTACCAAAAGAATATGTACAATAAAGTTTCTATCAGTACTGTCCACAAAAGCCCCCAAATGGTAATAATCAGAATATCCATTTGTCACAGAATGATTGCAGTGGTTGTAAATAATAAATGGATTATACAGCAAGGAGAATTATTGCCATATACAACAAAGAGACAAACCTCACAAACATAATGTTGAATGAAAGAAACCAGACACAAGTATTAACTACATGATTCCATTTATAAAAAGTTAAAACACAAGCAAAACTAACTTATGGTGTTAGTAGTCAGAACAATGATTACTTGGACAGAAGGAGGTTAGTGACTAAGGGGAAGCACAGGAGAACTAAGTTGCTGGTAATGTTCAGTTTCATAATCTGGATTCTTGTTATGCAGGTCTGTTCACATTGCAAAAATTTCTCCAGATGTATATTTTTAATTCATTTTAATATGTGCATATATGTTATGTTTCAACAAAAAAGTCTCACTTAAAAATTTTAAATATTTTAAAATTCCCAAATATGAAACCTACAATTTAAATTTGAGGCCCACCAACTACATAAAAAATAAATAAATAAATGAATGAGCAACACATAACAGGAAAGTGCAAAATAAGGGGGGGAAAACCCTCAAAATCAGATGCATTTAATACCATTTATAGTAATACAATTCTAATCCAATAAGAAGATATAGAAGTCATAAAACCTTAAAATACCAAACAATACTGCATTAAATATAAACAAAGCAGGGTATTTATTAAATACTCAAAGCAAATATACTCAATAAATAATATGAAAAGAAAATTGAAACAATTCCATTTTATAGGAGCATTTAAAACAATAAAACACATAGAAATAATTTAACCAAGGAGGTGTAAGACTTGATATACTGAAAATCAAAACAATTTGTGAAATGAATTTTTAAAAGAGCTAAATAAATGAAAATACACCTCGTGTTCACGGACTGGAAGACTAAATATGTTAGGATGGCAATGCTACCTAAAGTGCTCTATAGATTCAGTGCAATCCCTATCAAAATTCCACAGATCTTTTATGCAGAAATGGAAAACAGGCCCTCAAATTATATGAAATTATAAGGAGCACTGAATAGTTAAAATAATATTAAAAAAGAATAACAAATATGCAGAACTCAAACTTCCCTATTGCAAAATTTGCTATAAAGCTACAGTGGATCAAAACTGTGGAACTGACATAAAGAGAGACACAGAATTAAGAATCCAAAACCACCCAAATATCTATGGCCAACTGATTTTCAATGAGGATGTCAAAACCATTCAGTGGGAGAAAGAAAAGTCTCAACAAATAGTGCTGGAACAACTGAACATCTACATGCAAAAGAAGAAAGTTGGATCCCTACATCATACCACATACAAAATTAACTCAAGATAGGTCAGAGACCTAAATATAAGTGCTAAAACCATAAAATTTTTAGAAGGCCTGTAGTAAAATAGTCATAATCTTGGATTTGGCAATGAATTCTGAGATATGACACCAAAAACATAAGCAACATATGGATAAGCTGGACTTCATCCAAATTAACTCTTGAAAGACATTAGCAAGAGAGTGAAAAGACAACTTATAGAATGGTAGTAAATATTAAACAAATCATGCATCTGATAAGGTCTAGTATCCAGACTCTAAAATCAACAAAAGATGAACCACCCAATTAAAAATGGATAAAGGACATGAATAGACATTTTTCCAAAAAGGATATACAAATGAATAATAAGCACATGAAAAGATGCTCAACAGCGTTAGTCATTAGGAAAATGAAAATCAAAACAACGAGACACCATTTCACACTCATTAGGGTGGTTGCGACTAAAAATGGTTAAATATCAAGTATTGGCAAGGAAGTTAAGAAACTAGAACCCTTATATACTGCTGGTGGGAAAATAAAAAATGCAACCATTGTGGAAACAGTTTGGAAGTTCCACAAAAGTGAAACATAGAATTACCACAAAACTGAGTAATTCTACTCCTAGATATATAAACAAGAGATCTGAAAACAGATGCTCCAAAGAATCCTTGTGCAAAAACGTTCACAGCCATGTTAATCACAATAGCCAAAAGGAGAAAATAACTCAATCTCTATCAACAGATGATTGGCTAAACATAATATGGTATATTCATACAAAAGGAATATTACTCAGTCATAAATGAAGTACTGATACATGCTACAACATGGATGTAGCATGTGCCAAGTGAAAGAAGCCCAACACTAAAGGTCACATACTGCATGCTGTCATTTATATGAAATACTCAAGATAGGTAAATTCAGAGATAGAAAGGAGATTGGTGGTTGCCAGGGGCTAGGGAGAGGGAAGATGTAGGGAAGGACAATTTAATGGGTACAAGGTTTTCTTTTGGAGTATGAAAATATTTCAAACTAAATAGAGGAGGTGTTTGCAGAACACCATGAATGTACTAAATGCCACTGAACATACACTTTTAAGTGGTTAATTTTGTTATATGAATTTCACCTCAATAAAAAATACATAGGCCCAGCTGGGCGTGGCTCAACAGTTGAGCATTGACCTAGGATCCAGGAGATCAGGGTTCGATTCCCCGTCAGGGCACATACTCAGGTTGCGGGCTGCAGTCAATCAATGACTCTCTCATCATTGATGTTTCTCTCTCTCTCTCTCCCTCTTCTTTCCTCTCTCTGAAATCAATAAAGATATATTTTTAAAAATTATAATAATAAAAAATATATAAATAAATTTAAAAAGTCACTGGTTACATTTTTGGAGTATGCTGGGGAAATAACTTACCGTTCTGAAAAATAATAAGTGAAAAAAAGAATTAAGTATTTAACTTGACTTTCTTTCATAAGCTGTACCTCAAGGTAACTATATAGTTGATGAAAAAATGTTTATAGTAGTATTCGAGTTAATGAAGGAATGAAGAATGATAAAAACAGATCATCAGCACTACAATCTCCTAAAGAAACAAAGGATCTTAGGCAATGATCATCAATGGCTTGTAACATCACAAAAAGAGACAGCCAGACTTGATGAGCCTCCTGGTACATAAATAATATGTCTTACAAGTGTTCTTGCCAAAGTCCTACATGAAATAGATCAAGCCTCCAGAAATACCAGTTTAGTTTAAAGTACTACAGGGGACAAAGCAACAAGTTAATTGATGGAATCAGCAAAATTCAGAATGGGAGATATTCAACAGAACAAAAATACCTGTTTTCTTCAACCAATAGCAACTACAAACAAGCAAAAAGGGAGGGGGAACCTATAGATTAAAAAAACAAGGGACATATTATAAATGCAGCGTGTGGACCTTAACTGAAGCCTAATTCAAGCAAAATACAAAGACACAACAAATTATGGGACAGAAAGAATTTGAGCACCAACTAAATGTTATAATATCCAATATTACAATATTAAATAATTATCAACTTTTTTCCCAGGTTTGATAATGATATTGTGGCCTTTTTTTTTTAAAGAATCCTTTATCTTTAAGAGATACTAAAACATTTACAAATTAAACAGTGAGGTGCCCAAGATTTGCTTCAAAATAATTCAGTGTTGGATGACAGGGAAAGGGAGGTGGAGGTATAAATAAAACACGGCTGGCTGCTAGATGAAGACTATTGAAGCTGAATAATGGGTACCTAGGGGGTTATTCTAGTATTTTCCTATGGTATACGACTGAAATTTCCAAAATAAAAAGTCAAAGAAGAAACCAACTAAACAATATAATTTTTAAAAAGGATTTTTAAAATGGTTGAAAAAATTTTTTTGTATTTTAATCTGAAGAATCACAAATGAACTTACTAGATGAAGAACTTATCATTTTAGTTAAAAATTTCATTCCTCTATGACATTTTTATCTTTGTCCATTTGTTTTGTTTAAGCCTCTATGGCCTGGACTTTTAGAAGCTAATTTTGTCTATAACAGTAGCGTTATCTGTACACTGGTCCAAGTTTTGGCAAACTTTAGGCCCATAGTCTGTTTCTCTACAGACACGAAGTTAAAAATGTTTTGTTTTCATTTTTAAAGGGTTATAAAAAGTAAAAAAGAAAAATCTGTAACAGAGATCATATGTGGTCCACAAAACCTAAAATATTTACTATCCAATTATATTTTGGGAAGTCATTTCCCATACATGCCCACTAGTGTACATGAAGTACACTGAACTAGGAAATAATCCTGATTCTGACAGAAGCCCAGCATTCTAGACTATGAGAAACCTGAAGGGACCCGAAATTTCTGAAAGATCATAGAAGATTAATGTAAAACTTGTGTTTTGTTTTTTTATTTATTGATTTTTTTTTTGAGAGAGAGAAGGGGGAGGGAGAGGGAGGTAGAGGGAGGGGGAACAGGGAGGGAGACAGAGACAGAGGTAGAGAAAGAAAGAGAAAGAGAAAGACAAAGAGAGAGACGTTGATTTGTTGTGCCACTTATTTATGCATTCATTGGTTGATTCTTTTATGTGCCCTGACCGGGATCAAAAACCTGAAATCCTGGCAGTAGCAGGATGACACTCTAACCAACTGAACTACCAGGTCAGGGCCAAAATGCATCTTTATATGTATGTTGGGGCTCATATAAGTTGTGTGCATTTTTTAATACATGCAAACTTTGATTCACATTTAAATTAAAAATTAATCACCAATATCTAAAAAATAGATTCAATTAAAACTATTGTTGATGAAGACATATATGATGGTCTCTTCCTTTAAGGCAAGCACTTCAAAGCTCAGTCATATCCAGAAGATCACAGGCTTAAAAATTTTTAGAATTGGAAGGATTTATAGGGGGTCACCTATTTTACTCTCCTTGGTTTATGGAAAACAAAGGCCGATGAAGTAATTTAGTGACTTTCACACAGTTAGGCAATATATATAAAAGACGTAGAAAAGCAATTTATGGAAGTCAAGTATGAGGCTTTTCTACTACATATAATGAGGTTACTCTTTTTTTTTTTTTGGTTTTGTTCTGTTTTGTTTATTTTTGTTTAAAGTATTACAGAGTCCCTTTTTCTCTCCAATGACCCACTCCACACCATCCCATCCCCCTCCCCAGTCCCTCTCCCCATCATTGTCCATGTACTTGGGTTGTGCATATATGTGAGGTTACTCTCTTGATTATATTTAGATCCATTTTTTCCCCCTGGTCCCTGAGAAATAAGATTGCACAACACTCCTCAGCTAAGAACCAACTGGAGATCTTAATTTCCGTTTCCACAATCACAAAAACTGACCCTGACCTCTCTCCACAGAATTATAGCTAATCATCAAGCCCCATGAGACCCCAAACTATGTTCCCATCCTGTGACTAAGGTTAAAATGGAATACCCCACCCCCAATTTTTCCCTGAGAGATCTGGCAACTTCCATGCATATCTGTTTGATTAAGTAATAATATAGATGTTGCTAACAGGAATAGAAAATAGAAAAATATATGAGAAGTGGGTAGATCCAGGCATCTTTCTAAAAACAAACTGAATTTTATTAGCATTATGAAAACTGTTCTTTCATTCACATTCATACTCAATTTTTTTTTCTTTTAAACTCACAAATACTGCTGATATCTTTAGTTCTAGCCCTCCCAAGTACCTAATTCTTTATTTGTAATGGGATCCTATTTCTGCAATTGAGTTTCTATTTCTACCAACAATGCATGAGCGATTCCCAGGTTTTAATAGTGATAATCCTCTCAGCCTGTATTAGTCCCACTTTGAGTTAAGACTTTTGTGAACTAGGCACGTTTTAAAATTAAATTTTCAGTAATCTGGCTGCGAAATTGGAAATATCCACATTATCTACCTCACAGGGATGTCCATGAGTTAAGAAATTACAGTGTGATACAAATGTGGGCATTGTCCTGAAACAGGAAAAATGCTTACCCATTTATGGTTTTGCCAAGGTCATTTTCTTTATGAGGGCAATATAATAAAAAGTATATTACACTTAAAAAGGAATGAGATGGTAAATTTTACGCTTGAAAGCATAATTACAAATAAAAAATGTAGAAAATTACATTTTCTATTGATAAAGTTTCTTATGTACATACAATAGAATATGATTCAGCCTTAACAAGGAAGGAAATTCTGACACATGCTACAACATGGATGAATCTTGAAGTCATTGTGCTAAGCGGAAAAAGACAGACAGAAAAAGACAAATATTGCATGATTCCACTTTTACGATAGTCAAATTCAGAGACATCAAGGAGGATGGTGTTTACCAGCAAGTGGGGGGAGTGAGAATGGGAAGCTACTGTTTAAAGGGTATAGAGTTTTAGTTTGGGATGAAAAAAAGTTCTGCAGATGGATAGTCATAACCATTGCACAGCAATGTGAAAGTACTTTATGCCACTGAACCATACACTTAAAAATGGATAAATGGTAAATTTTATGTTATGTATATTTTACCACTGTAACAAAAAATATTACCTTGAAGGTCTCCAATCATCTCAGAATCATGACCTCTGTCTCTTCGTTCAGCTTCTAATGCAGCTTGCAGCTGGTAAAACTCCTTGTCCGTTTGTGACTTGGAATTCTCTAAAATTCTACTTCTCTCCTGCAATTCTCTGTTCAGGGACTCTAGCTGACTAATTGACTTGCTCATCTCTGTGTGACTCTTCCTTAATCTTACAGCTGTGTCTGATTCTGTCCTAAGTAAGTCATTGGCTTCTTCCAGCTATTTAAAAAAAAAAAAAAAAGAACAAGAAAATAGGTTTTTGACCAAAATACAATAAAACTTATTATAATTTCTTTAAAACCATTCTAAAACTTACCTGCTTTTGTAATTGTGCCACCTTCTCATTAGCATGCTGTGAATTCTGACTTACTTTCCTTAAGTCTTCCAACTGATCCTTTAATGTAGAAACTAGTAAATGAAAGAATAAGATGTAGAAATTACAAAGTATTAATGGAGGAAACATATAAACCCATTTAAAAAAATGAAATTTAGATCCACTCCTAAAGTGAAATTCCATCTTGGAAGTACTTTTTAAATTCATGAAAAAGTACAGCATTGTTATGTAATAGAGGATGCAAAAATAGATTTGTTTCTACTGTTATAAATACTTCAAATTCTTTTATTCCCTTAATAAGGTCAACCTATTAGTGAAATGTTACAAATCTAGTTTTAATATTATTTATTTTTGAACAGTACAAATCTTTGAATAGTTCAGTATTTTTTAAATGGTTTAAAACTCCAAAGGTACCAAATGGTATATAGTGTAAAATGAGTCTTCCTGCCTCCACATTGTCTCCTACTCCCTCTGACTCTCCTCCCTCCCTAACCACAACTATTACTAATTTTTTGCACATCCTTCCTAAGATAGTCTATGTATCCATATCCTAACATATAAAAACACACACGTAATAGCACAGGCCAGTGTGGCTCAGTTGATTGGAGAGTCATACTGTCAACAGAAAGGTTGCAAGTCTGCTTCCTGCCCAGGGAACATACTCAGATTGTGGGTTCAATCCGCAGCAAGAGTGCGTATGAGAGGCAACTGATCAATATTTCTCTCTCACATCAATGTTTCTCTCTCTCTTCCTCTCCCTTCCTCTCTCTACAACCAATTTAAAAAATTCTTTTAAAAAACCCCACATAATATACATATATATGTATGTTTCACATGTATATCTATGCATATATATATGTATATACACATTTAAGGTATAAAGACAAGCACCCTTGTTTTAAACAATCTGTACTTTTCCCCCCAATTAAAGATACACCTTAAAGATTCTTTTATAACATATAAGAAAATGCTTTATTCTTTTATAAGATGCATAATAGTCTACAATATAGGCATACCAACATTTATTATATCATTGATTACACTTACATTGTTTATAACTTTTTCCATTTTAATATGTTGTTGTTGTTGTTTTTAATTTCAGAGAGAGGAAGGGAGAGGGAGAGAGAGATAGAAACATCAATGATGAGAGCAAATCATTGATCGGCTGCCTCCTGTGCACCCCCCCTTACTGGGGATCGAGCCCGAAATCTGGGCATGTACCCTGACATAGAATCGAACCAGTGATCTCTTGGTGCACGGGTCGACATTCAACCACTGAGCCACACCGGCTGGGCATTTTTTGCCATTTTAAAAATTGCTACAATGAATAGCCTTGTTTATAAATCAGTTTGCATGTACACAAATGTGTATGTAAAAGAAATTCTTAGAAGTAAAATCACTGGATCAAAGGGTGTAGAAAGCTATTTTAAAAGCATTTGTAACACTAACATTAAAATAGATGAAATTCTAGTTAATGAACTCTCTAAGGTGGCTGCTTGTTAGAAGTGCCTAGAGAGCTTAATAAAAATACCGATGCTCAGGTCACACATCTAAATCAATTAAATTAGAATCGCTGGAGTTTAGGTATCAGTATTCTTTAAAGCTTTCCAGGAGATTCCAATATGCACACAAGGACAAAAATCACTACTCTACCTAAAACATTACTACTGATATTAATATGTTATATATTTTATATTGAGACATTTAGCTCATGAGGTGTCGCTGGATTTTGACTTTAAGAAAACCTCACGACAAAGATCTCAAGAATAGTGTTAGAAATTCCAGTGTTTTTCAAAAGAAGTAACAATTTACCTTCATTTTCTACATTTCTCCTCTTTTCATTTTCCTGTTCTGCTTTTCTTTGGTACTCATTAATTCTATGCTGTAGCAACATCTTTTCTTTTTCAATCTGAGACACTGTAGATTCTAGATTTCTTCTTTGATTCCCCTGAAATTATAATGACAAAAGTTACCATTGCAATTAATACTCGTCATTTATTTGAGAGAATACTGTTTTTAAAGACAAAAACACAAAGGCTTAAGATGGATTTTTTGTTTCAAAAATCAGATAGCACCTCCTAATGACAACTTTCTAATAACAGAATTAGCTTGCCTTATAAAACAGTGAGAATCCTCTATTTGAATTAGATATGTAAAATTTTTAGGGAGTTTTAAACCCATGAATATAAAAAATCCCATCAGTTCAAAAGTCACTTTATTAGTTTAAGATAACCACAATGCATCATATTACCAATACTTCGTGTTATTTACAATTCTATATTTAAGATATAAAATATGAAAGGGATCAGATAAGAACTATATATTTGAAAATTAAACGGTGCAAAGCTCAAATGGCAACAAATGCTACAGTATGTGCAGTAAGTTAACCAATCCCTGTGTGTCTCCATTAATCCTCTCCCTGACTCAACAACTTACCTTTTCTAAGATTTTCAATGTATCTACATACTAATGCATATTAAAAGGTAACAGAGAAAATAGCTACTTTAGAAAATGAAACCATAGGGGAATGGAAAGTTAACGGGGAAAAACCCACCAAACTTCCACAACTTAAAAATTTATCTTCTGTTTCTCAGTTACCACTATCAGCATAACCTGCTTTTATGCTTCATTTTGATCTTTAAGACTCTGCAATGGGAAAATCTCCTGTATAATAAATGTTTTTCTGGGCTTTAACATTTAATAAAAAACCATCTTTTAGGTAAGATGCTGTCAGATTTAGCGCAATTTGACATATCATATAAAGTCTTCCTAAGACTTCTTTCTTTTATTTTTTCGGTTTTTTATTTTGAATTAATGATACATTTCAGGAAGTTGCAAAGATGGTAGAGAGAGGTGTCATGTACCCTTCCACTCATTTTCCTCTAATAGTTACATTATATATAGCAGTACAATAACAAAATCAGGAAAATGATACTGATATAAAGTATGTATAGTTCTATGTCATTTTATCTCATATGTTCTTTTTTTATGGTTTCCATGTCCTTTTTTACATGATAGAATTTCTAAGTTCAACTACTCTTCCCCTAAGTTCACTGTCCATCCTTATAACCAGTGTTTTGAACTTTTGTCTAGCAGGATGCTTGTCTTCATTTTGTTTAGTTCTTTTTCTGGATTTTGTTCTGTTCTTTGGGACATATTTGTCTCCTCACTTTGGCAGCCTGCCTTTGTTTGTTTCTATGTGTTAGGAAGAGCTGCTACATCTCCCAGGCTTGGCAGAGTGACCTAATACAGTAGGTGTTCTGTAGGGTCCAGTGGCACAGCCTCCCTGATACCCAAGCTGGGCACTCCAGGAACTACCCCGCCCTGTTTGGTCATGTACACCCTTCTGTTGTAGTTGACCCTTGACTGCTGTTGACATGGGAGGAATTTATACCCAGGCCAATCAGCTGCAAGGACTAGCTGCAACCACAACCCAGCTCCTCCTTTGACCACCACAACCAATGACCACCACGGAGGACCAGCTGTGCAGGGTCCTGCCCCATAGAGCAGGACTAACTTCAACAAGGCTCTGGTGCCCACTGAGTCTGCCCTTTGAATGTGTTGCTGTGGAACTAACTGGTTGGATGGTGCCTCAATGTGGTCTAACGCTGTCCACTGAGTGCACTAGTTTGGGGAATCCCAGGAGGTGCAGGCCAAAATCAGCCACCTCCTCTGTTCTGACCAGGGCCACCTGGCTTGAGCTACAAAGTGATCTGCAGATGGCTGCTACTTGTACTATGCTTGGAGGTGCCCAGGAGAGGCCTAACTGCAAACCACAGCCAGCTAGCACCAGCAGGTGCCGGGCCTTGGGCCACTTCGGGAAAGATACACTGAGGCCAGATGCTGCTTCTTTGAAAGATATTAGGAAAGTCTGAAGAGTGAGCCAAGATAAGCCATTCATATGGAAAAGCCACTGGGAACAGCTTGGGTGGACCTAAAAGTTAGTTTGGTTAGGGTTTCAGGAAATCACCAGGGCAGGGCAAACAGTGTGAGCCAGGTTGATAGAGACTTAAATATGGCATTCACCCTCCCACTGGCTCTGTGGAGCAAGGGCTTATCAATGAAAAAATAGCTGCCCACCCTCTCAAGCTCTTACCCTGATCCCAAACAACTCATTTCCTCCCCATACATCCCTAGTGCCTTTCAAGTTGCTATCCTCGCACTGGCACTGAGAGAGAGAGTGCATCAGAATTGCCTGGGACTCCAGCAGCCTTCCATTTCACTCAGCTTCAATCCTAACTGGTTTTTACAGCCACAAGTTTGGGGACTTGTCTTCCTAGCACTGGAATCCTGGGCTTGGGGGCCTGGTGTGGGGCAAGGACACATTGATCCCCAGGGAGGACCTCCACAACTGAGATACCCCTCCTGATTTTTATATGCCATACATGGATGTGGGACCAGCCTGTTTGATTTCCGCCCCTCCTACCTGTCTCAATGTGGCTTCTTCTTTAAACCCCTAGTTGCAGGACTTCTATTCAGCTGGGTTTCAGTCGGTTCTGAATGTTCTGTAGTTTAGCTGTAATTCTGATATGGTTGTGGGAGGATGTGAGTACCACGTTTACCTATGCTGCCATCTTGACTAGAAGTCTTCTAAAGCCCCAATTTCCAAACTTGGTTATTTGTTTATTGAGCTTTACAGTTCTTTAAATATTCTAGATAATGTTCTTTGTGAGATACAGAGTTTACAAATATTTTTCTCCAGGCTATACCTTGTATCTCATCCTCTTATGAGGGCTGATCACAGAGCAAATATTATTAACTTTGATGAAGTCCAAATTATTAAATGTTACTCCTTATATGGATCATGTTTGTGGTGCCATGTCCAATAACTCTTCACTAAGCTCTAAGTCCCAAGGGTTTTCTCTAAAATTTTATATTTTTTATGTTCATATTTAAATATATCCATTTTGAGTTAACTTTTACATAAGGTATGAGACTTAGGCTGAGACTTACACAGAACTATTCATATCTTGACTTATGGATATTTAATCCTCCAGCACTATGTGTTAAAAAGATTATCCTTCCTCCACTGAATTGCCTTTGTACCTTTCTTACAAATCAGTTGACTATAAATTGAGGGATAGTGATCCAAAGTTTTCTGTGTTGTACTGTCTTTATTAAATTTTTGTATGTGGGTAATTCTAGCCTCATAAAATTCACTGGGGAAGTGTTCCCTCCTCTTATATTTTCTGGAAGAGATAGTACAGAATTGGTGTTAATTCTTAAGACACTTAGAGCTATGTAGTAAAACCCTCTGATCTTGGAGGTTACTTTTTTGGGGAGCTCTTAAATTATGAATTCATGTTAATTTAAGTTATACAGAGCTATTCAAATAATCTATTTCACATTGTGTGAGTTGTAGTTTGTATTTTTGTAGGAATTAGTCCATTTAATCTAAATTTCACATTTATATGTTTAGAATTCTTTGCAGTATTCCCTTATGAACCATTTGATATATATATGTAGTCAGTAGTAACATGCCTTATGTTATTTCTTTTTTTTTCTTTTTTTAATCCTCACCTGAGGATATTTTTTCCATTGCTTTTCAGAGAGAGTGAGAGAGAAAGAGAAACATTGATGTGAGAGACACACCAATTGGCTGCCTCCTGCACTCATCCCAACCAGGGCCAGGGATCAAGCCTGCAACCAAAATACATGCTCTTTGGCTGCAGTCAAACCCTGGACCCTTCAGTCCATGGGCTGACGCTCTAACCACTGAGCCAAATCGACTAGGGCTGCCTTATGTTATTTCCGATTCCAAAAATCTGTGTCTTCTCTTTTTCCTTTGTCAATTTGCTAGAGGTCTGTGAATTTTGTTGATCTTTCCAGACAGCTAGCTTTTTGTCTTCATTGATTTTCTCTAATGTTCCTGTTTTTAATTCCATTGATCTCTGCTATAAATTTTTCCCTCCCTTTTTTTAAAATATTCTTTTCTAGGTTCTTGAGACAAAAGCACAAACAACTAAGTTGAGACTTTTAACTCTGCCCCTGGTAATATTCTTTGCCCTGGAGTCTAACTTACCTGATATTAATATTGCCATTGCTGCGTTCTTTTTGCTGTTTGCATGATATATTTTCCCACCCTTTTCAAATTGCTTATATTGTTACATCTAAAGAGTATTTCTGATAGATAACATACAGTTAGGTCATTTAAAAATATCTACTCTGGCCCTCGCCAGTTTTGCTCAGTGGTTAGAGCATCGGCCTGCAGACTGAAGGGTCCCAGATTAGATTCCTGCCAAAGGCACGTACCTCAGTTGCATGCTCAATCCCCAGCCCAGTCGGGGTGCGTGGGGGAGGCAACCAATCGATGTGTCTCTCTCACATCGATGTTTCTCTCTCTCTTCCTTCTACTCTCCCTGAAAAGCAATGGAAAAAATATCCTCGGGTGAGGATTAAAATAAATAAATCTACTCTGACAAAATATTTTAATTGTTGCTACATTTAATTTACATTTAATGCAATTATTAATATGTTAGAATTAAGTCTTCTGTTTCAGTTTTTTGTTTGACCTCTGTTTTTCCTATTTCTCGTCTTTCTGTGGGTTACCTGAACATTTTTTAGAATTCTACTTTATCTATTCTGTTTTTTAGGGTATCAGTGTGTGTAACTTCTCCAGTGGCTGCTTTAGGTATTATATTACACATGCAGTACACAGTTTATCACAACCTACTGGCGTTGACATCTTATCGTTTTAATTAAAGTATAAAACCTTTACCTCCCTTTGTATCTCTTTATCCTCCGGTTCACAACAATCTTAAATATTTCTACATGTATAGAGAACCACATTAGCCAGTGCTGCAATTTCTGCTTCAATTGTCAAAACGTTAAAAACTTGCCCTGGCTGGTGTGGTTCAGTGGTTAAGAGCGTCAGCCAAAGCACCAAAGGGTTGTGGGTTAGATTCTTGGGCAAGGGCCCATACCTGAGGTTGCAGGTTTGATCTCAGCCCTGGCCGGGGCGTGTTTGGGAGGCAACCAATTGATGTATCTCTGTCACATCAATGTTTCTTTATCCTCTGCCCCTCCCTTTCACTCCTTCTTAAAAAAACAAAAAAACAAACAAAAAAAAACAATGGAAAAAATATCCTCAGGTGAGGATTAAAGAAAATTTTTTTTTTAAATTAAAAACTCAAGAGAAGGCAAGTGCATTGTATTTACCCATATTTTTACTCTCTACTCTTTCTTCTTTCCTAATATGCCCAGATTCTTTTACCATTTCATTTATATTTAGAGAATTTCCTTTAGCAATTCTTTTAGAGGAGGTGTGTGATAACTTTTCTTAAGTTTTCCTTCATCTGAGAATGCTATGATTTTCATTGGAAAGGATTTTTCACTCCACACAGAATTCTGGGTTGACATCCCTTGAAAAATGTTGTGCCAATTCCTCCTGTCCTCCATGGTTTCTGATAAAAAATCTGTCATCTGTAATGACATTAGTTGTGTCTTTTGCTGTTTGTAAAATTTCTTCGTTGTCATTAGTTTTCAGAAGTCTGACTATTGTGTCTTGGTGTGGATATCTTTGGGTTTATTCTTTTTGTGGTTCACTCAGCTTCCTGTAGGTTTGTCTTTGTAGGTTCGTGGTTTGCCAAATTTGTGGAATTTTTAGCCATCACTTCTTCCTGCCCCCTTTTCTCCTCTCCTTCAGCAATTCCAATGACACAAATGTTAGAACTTAAAATTTTTTAAAATTAAATTTATTGGGGTGACATTGGTTGATAAGATTATATAATCAAGTGTAAATTTCCATGATACACTTTTTCCCCCACTATTATTCAGACTGAGTAATTACTTTCTTTTTTTTCATTAATCCTCACCCAAGGATATTTTTTCCATTGATTTTTAAAGAGTAGAAGGGAGGCACAAAGGGGGGAGGAGAGAGGGGGGAGGGAGAGAGGGAGGTAGAGAGAGAGAGAGAGAGAAAGAAAACACATCAATGTGAGAGAGACACATTGATTGATTGCCTCCCGCGTGCACCCCGACTGGGGTCCGGTATCCAACCCGCAACCCAGGCACATGCCCTTGACCAGGAATCAAACCCTCAATCCTTCAGTGCATGGGCCAAAGCTCTAACCACTGAGCAACAGGGCCAGGGCAGACTGGGTAATTTCTATTGGTCTATCTTCAAGTTCTCTGATTCCTTAGGATACTCCACTCTGTTGAGCCCACTCACTGAAATTTTTACTTAGTTACGTTAATTTTTGGTTGGTTCTACTTTATATCTTCTATGCCTCTGCTAAAATTTCCTATTTCTTTGCTGAGACTTTCTAATTTAAATTTTTCATTTATTTCAAGTATGTTTGTAGTTGCTCACTGAAACATATTTATGATGATTCCTTTAAATCCATGTCACATAATTTTAACATCTGTTATCTCAGTGTTGGCATCTATTTATTGTGTGTTTATTGTTTCAACAGAAACCTGGACATTTTGGGTATTATTCTACAATACTCTGGATCTCATTTAAGTCTTCTACTTTAGCAGGTCTCTTCTGTCACTGTTCTGGTGGGATTAAGGAGGTGCTGCCTCCTTTCTGCCAGATGGAGGTAGAAATCTAAGTTTTCCATTTGATCTTTATTGACACAGAGACTGAGGAGGCATGGATCCTCATTACTGCTGGGTGGAAATGGAAGTTCTGGTACCCCACTAGGTCTCCAGTGATAACAACATGGCTGGGGAGTGGGAGCAAGCTTGTTATTTCAGTGTTGAAGGTTCAAACTCTCTACCAGGCCTTTTATGACACCACCCCAGCACAGAGTAGGATGGGTGCTTTGTTGCTGCTGAGTGGAAGTAAAAAACTAGACATCCCACATGGTTGTCAATGACTGACTGAGGAAGCCAGCTAAGGTTTGTCACTTCTCCGTGGGTATCAAAGTCCTTCCATTGGATCTTTTCTGACACCACTGTGCCAGAGGGCTGAAAGTCTAGGCTTTTCACTCAGCCTTCGTGAGTGGGGGTGGGGTTACATTTTTTTATGTGTGTTTGGCTGACTAGAGCAGTAATTATATAAAAGTTTTCAGACTTGCTATCCTACCCTTTTCTTGGTCTGTTAGCTAGAGAGAGCAGCTTTTCTTGTCTATGCTTATTGATTTTTCCAGATTGCTGGCTTCTCCAGCACCCAGTCTGGGACATATGCCACAAAAAGAAAACCCATAGTATTTACTTCTGTGTCGTTTCTTGGGATCCAAGTCCTCTAGCTGGTCTGCCTTTTCTTCACCATTCGGAATCTTTTTTACCTTTGTTTTATATTCACTGTCTAAGCTTTTTAGCCATAATTTGTAGGAGGACTCCATCTTTCCAGAAGCAGGACTATAGCAATCCATTGTCTGCAGTTTCACTTTCCAGTTTCAGTTACATGCAGTCAACTGAGGTCCAGAAATATTAAATGGAAAATTCCAGAAATAAACAGTTCGTAAGTTTTCAACTGCACACCACTCTGAGCAGTGTGATGAAGTCTCACACTGTCCGCTTGGTCCTGCGCAGGATGAAAATCATCCCTTTGTCCAGGGTATCTATGCTGTCTGTATACACTCCCCATCCTGGTTATCAAACTGACTGTCATGGTATCATGGTGCTCGTGGTCAAATAACCCTTATTTTACTTACTAATGGCCCCAAAGTGCAAGAGTAGTGATGCTGGCAATTCAGATATGCCAAAGGGAAGCCATAAAGTACAGTGGTACCTCGGTTTTCTAATGTCTCTGTTGAGGAATATTCTGGGTTAGGAACACTGTAAACCCTTAAGTCAATGCTCCGGTTTTCGAACACGCCTCGAAAGTCGAACATGCCACATGGCTTCCACTGAGGGCAAGATCCTGAGACCCAGCTGTCAGCTGTTGATCCCTCGGTTTTCGAACATTTCAGAACTCCAACGGTCTTCCGGAACGAATTACATTCGAAAACCGAGGTACCACTGTACATATAGGGTTCGATACTATCAATGCTTCAAGAATCCAGTAGGGGTCTTGAAATATAATCCCAGCAGATAAGGGGAGGAGAGGACACTACTATATTCAAATGTTATAATTAAGATCTCCCTTTCTACCTTGAATTTGGAAAGTTGAATAACTTGAATCTAGCACACTTGAATTTTATCTGTTTTAGAAATGAAATAAAAAATGGACGATATGCAAAAAGGATTTCTTAAATAGTCAAATAAATAGTGCTAGGCTGAGTACACAATTACCAATGGCAAGTTGATAAAATATTATCTAAATCTCCTCAGATGACTATATGTATATCCAAAGCTACAAATGAAAACCAAACCAAAACAAAACAAAAACCCCACCACTGACACTATTCCTTAAGAGAAAAGAAAATTAGCATAAAAACCATCAAAAAGATTAAATCTAAAATGACAAAGGAAGTAATTAATGAGAGGAAGGCTATACAGAGTATATTTCTTTTCAAGGGACTCTTCATACATGCAGTAGAAAGACATTTACAAGTTGACTAAAAGAAATGAAAATGTACTACATATTTGTAAACAAGTATCTGTATCATGAAATGTTTATGCTGTGTTTCCCTGATAAATAAAACCTGCTTGTTAGGTGACCACGAAAAACATAAATAATTTTAAGATCAATATATTTCCCATTTTAGCACATGATATTATGTTAATGTCAGTTCTCTTAAAATTATATTCTTCCCTCTTTCCTATTTGTCTCTTTCTGCTATGGCTGTAGATTCAATTTCTGATCTCTTGATTCTTTTGCTCCATTCTCAATGATTTTCAACTATTAAGAACCAAAATAAAAGTTCTGTGTTAAAATTTCAACAGTGTTCTACAATAAAAATATACAAAAGAAACTAAAGTATAATCTAATCTGTATCACTTGAATCTGCAGCTCCAATGTGAGGCTTCCATCATAATTCTTTGTATTTCAACCTATAAGGTTCAGTTGTAATTTTCTTAGGAAACAAAACTATCTGAAAGAGGGAGGAAAGCTCTCAAAATGGAACACCTCTGATTAGAAAGCACAGAGTACCTACCTCTTCATCCAATTCTTTCATTATTTTGTCTAGTTTAATGTTTGAAGTTCTGTAAAGACAAAAGTAATATAGATTAGAAATATGTTTATTTTTTGCTGACCATGCGTGGAACCCCACATTTCTTACTTTTCCATTTAACTAAGATTACTTAATTTTTTGTGTGCTGTGGATCTCTTTGGCAGTCTGGTGAAACCTATTGCCTTTATTCAGAACAATATTTTTAGCATAAAACAAAACACAGAGGATTTTTAAAAGCCAATATATTGAAATAGTCATAAACTTAAAAAATGTATGGTTTAATAATATGCATATTTCTTTGTTAACATATTAAACCACAAGATCTAGTGGCAGTGATTTCAAAGTAGTAGTGAGCACAAATGATACATAGAGATAACAACAGTATTATAAGAAAATATTTGTAATTTCTATTGGTAATAAAAAAATTCACAGCTACTGCAAATAATTCTGGATTATTGCCTATGTTCATAATTAAAGGGAATGCTGAATTTCCCTTATAATTTAGAGAAAATATTCAATTTTTCTCATCCAAGTTTAAAGACCTTGAGTTCCATCCATGGTTTTTTTGGGGAGAGGTCTATGGATTCTAGGTTAAGGATCCCTGAAGTTACTTATGTTATACTTGCTACTAAGTAAAAATTAGCCATTTAATCTTTAATACAAAATTAAGTAAATGAAGGAAAAGTTGGCATACATAAACCAGTAAACAGACCCACTATCAACTTGAGCAAAAGTTTGAAATAAACTGAAAGTATATTATCTCCATCACAATTCATTTTCTTTGGCTCTAAACACACTTCTGAGCTTCAAATTTGTATATATAACATTTTACATGAATATCTCACCAAATACCTCATTCAGCATATACAGAACTAAGCTTATTCCCTCTGCTCCACACCCATACCCATAATACTAATCTGCTTCTTCTATAAGTGTCCCTAAGTAAAGGATACCACCTGGGAATCATCCTTGATTCATCTTCCTCCTTCATTCCCAGTTAGCTTTAACTAATAAATGTCAAGTGCTGCCAACTAACTAGAATACTTCTTTAAAAGCAAATTTGATCAGTTTTTTAAACTCTTATTTAAAATTTTTTTTTTTGGTGTTTTTTTTTTCTTCTTTTACTTCTTAGTTCAATAACCTTCAATGTTTTTCCATCACCCTTAGGAAAAAAATTGCAAATTTCTTAGGTTATCAAAAACAAAGTCCTCTAAGATTTAGATTCCGATGAATTTCCCAGCCTCATCTTAGGTACCCATGCCCCGCACATTTTCATGTGATTATTGGCCACTTTGGCCATTCTTTCTTCTTTCCCAAACTGGTCCTCACCACCACTACTACCACTAGCTTGTCATTTTCCTTTTAATTTTCATTACAATGTTTTTTGGATATAGGAACTTCTCAACAATTACACAATAACATCTATTTATTTCTCCCCTTATTTCCGTATTTTATACTTAGAAATTTATTCCATATCCTGGCATCAGTTAATTATTTTCTTATATTAAAATACTTTTATAAAAAAAATGTTTGTATTATATGCTTTACTATTTAATGTATCAGGAATGGTACGCAGTAAGAATTTTACTTGTTTTCTCTTACCCCTTAGTCACAAAATTGCCAGTTTTTCCAATTCCATTTGTTGTATACTTTATCTCTATATTACCACTGTATTTTACTTATTTAATATAGCCACTAAAAATATAAATAAGTATAAAAAGTTGCTTGCAATAAGTAATTCACCATTATGCTGTTATTTAAAATAATCATTCTATATTTTCATAAATATACATGCTTATTAAATTTAGACTCACAAGAAAAAATTCTGAGCTACTGCCCTTAAAAAATCACAATGGAAAATAGAATGTATCAAAAATTTAGTGAATTTTAACCTTCAACATTTACATTTTAGAAAGCATCTTATTTAATGTAAACTAATTTGCTCTTTCAGCTACCTAATTGAAATGGGAGAGAAAAGCAATAAATCAGTCACTAAGTGAATCAACACTATATAGTTTTTAGTAAAGACCATGGGGAGCAAATGCACTTTATATTCTGAGGAAAAAACATCTATAACTAATGCCAACATACATATTACTTTCCAATTCTAATCAAGACATTCTTCATTGATTGTATATCAGTAGCAAACTTTATATCCCCTCCTTACTTCTACTTACAAGTGTTTACAGAGTACAAGCTTTTAAGTAAGCTTCACTATACAATTTTTAATGTAAAAAACATATAAAGTATATTCTCACCTGCACTTCTGCTCCATTTCATCTTTTAATTGCATTTCATTATGCAGCTGTTCTTCCAGCTTATAAATTGTTTTTTGCAAACTTTCCTGCTATAATTGAAAACAAAACAAAACTCATTCTACTAAGAATATTCACAGATAATTTAAAAATAGCAAGTTTATGTTATCATTTTACACTGTTTAGGAGGGAATTGTTTGATTCAATCTTACCCTTTTCCTTTCTATCTAACATGTTTATTATTAATTAAGCACCTCCCC